CACCCAAACCCCGCTCCCCACCACGCCGCGCCGCAGGCCGCTGCCGCCCCGGACGCGGCGCTCTTGGTGGGCGGAGCTGGATTTGTCGGCGCCGCACCTCAAAACGCAGTCCGAGATTCTGGCCGGCGGGCCAGCCGCCCGCGGGCGCTACATGCTGTTTGAGACGGCCCTCATCGGCGACGCCGATCAAGCGCGCGCTCTGCTTGGCTGCGAGGGTGAGCGCGCCGGGCCGCGTTGGCTTTGATTGGGGCAGGGCTGGAGGATGGAGTGTGGATGGAAGTGTTTAGACGGCAAAAGGCGCGCCGCTGCATGCCCGTACCTCGCACGCCAACTCCCCGGCTGCCATGGCCTGAGGACGGCCGCCCGAGGCCAGCCCAGACGAGGCGCAGCGCGGCAAGCATCTAGGCCCCACGCAAACGCCCGCCCCACCGTGTGCACTGTAACAATCACGCCAGGCGACGCGTGGACTGTGTCTGTGCCGCCGCACCTGGCCAAGATCCTGGGGTCAGAGTCGATGGGCGTCGTGGGGGAGCCCAAGCACATGCAGGCGCGGCCCACTGGGCGCCCCCAACCCCGGCAGGGCTTGAGCAGGCCCTGCTTCTTTGGGGCCAGAGGGCCGGCGCCCCGAATGCAGAGAGGGAGGCAGCGCCCACGCACGGCAGGGGATTGGAGCTGCCGTGCACGAACGCCGCATCGGCTTCCCGGCTGCCGCCCCGCTCCCTGCTCCAAGGTCGAACGCCGCCCGGCTCCCCTGCCCCTCACCCGCAGCTGCGCCGCCTGCTGTCGCCCGCGCTGAGCGCCGAGGCGGTGTCCTCCTACCTTCCAGAGATCCAGGATCTTGCGGAGAAGTACTGCGCCGCCTGGGCCGCGCGCGGCTGCGTGCCGGCGCTGCACGAGGAGCTCAAGCTGTTCACGTTTGAGGCACGTGCTTGAGCAGATTTGCGGTTCCACGGGGGCCCGCCCCGCATTTTTCTGACTAAAGATCACACTCAGCGTTTGGTCGTCTGCTTTTGCGCCTGCTTTTCGGCCCCGTGCGGCCTGCACTGCTGCCCTTGGACTGGATCACGCCCCACACACGCACGCCTCACCAAACGGCGCCGCCTGGGCACCTCGCGCGCGGCAGCAGGTCATTTGCCGGGTGGTGTGCGGCCTCGAATTCGCGCCGGGCGAGCTGGAGGAATGGTCGGCCCTCTACGGCACAGTGGCGCGCGGCATCGAGTTCCCCGTGCCGCTCGAGGCCCTCTGGTTCACGCCCTTCGGGAAAGCCATGCGCGCGCGTCGCGAAGTTGTCGCGCGCCTGCAGGCGAGGGTCGACGCGGAGCGCGCGCGGCTTGCGGCCGCGGGCGGCGGCGGGCGGCGGCGCGCGGCGGGCGGCATGCTGGCCGCCATGGTGGCGGCGAGGGACCCGGAGACGGGGCAGGGCTTGACCGACCAACAGCTGACTGACAACCTGCTGGGTCTCCTGGTGTGTTTTGGGGCCGGTTTAATCAGGGAAGGGGCAAATTGAAAACACAACGTGCACCACAGCGGGGCTAGCGCTGCTAGCGGCGCCCGCGGCAGCCGGCTTGACCAGCGCCGCCAAAAGCCTGCCTGCCTTCAGGCCGCCGACTGCTATCATCTGAGCCTGCGGGGGCGGCAGCACGGGCGGCAGAGTGTGTCCAGGGCACCTAGTTTCCAGCGTCACGACCCGCACGCCCCCCACAATCAAACGGGGCCGCGGGGCTGAAGCAGGTGGCGGGCCATGACACGACTGCGTCAACATTGTCAGTGGTCATGTTCTACCTGGACCAACACCCAGAGGTGCGCCGTCCAGAACGGATGCAGGTGCCGTCTGATTACCGGGTCAATTGCACCACTGCAGCACAGACCCGCGCCTGCCGAGCGGCGGGCGGGATGCTGTGCGCGACACGAGACAGAGCCACGGCAGTCAAAGGGGCACAGCGGTTGACCAAAGCAAGCATCAAACTGCTCGCGTCCTGCCAAGCGCGCTTGCAGCCGCTGACACGGGCACCACGCCATGGGTTGCAAAACTATGGTTGTCGCTGCGTGCTCTGCGGCTGAAAACTCCACGCTAATGCGCTGCTGGATTTTGCGTGTTGCACTCATCACCTGTGTTCCTTCCCCACCCACGAAGGCCTTGGCTGCGCTGCGTGAGGAGCAGGCCGCGGTGGTGGCGGCCCACGGCCCAGCCCTGACTCCAGCTGCGATGGACGCGATGGTGTGGGCGACGGCGGTGGTGCGAGAGGCGTGGCGGCTCAGGCCGGTGGTGCCAATCTCTGGGCGCCAGGCGCTCAAGGTGTGGGCGCTGCGCGTGCGTGTGCGTGTGCGTGTGTGTGTGTGTGTGTGTGTGTGCGTGTGTGTGCACGCGTGCATGCAGCGATGCTCACACATTTCTGCATGTATCAATGAAATGTTGTGCACGCATCGCGTGCGCATCGGATCCGTGCATCCGCATGCAATCCCCCCTGCCGGCAAGAGTCTCATCTTGTTTGCCATCGTCTAGCAACACCGCCGGCCCATGAGAAAGCCCTCACACCTGCTATGGCCCCCAGATGTCTGTCCAGCCCCGCTGCCCCACACCCTGCGCTCATCACCCAACTAACCTCACGCGACTGCCCCTGCCAAACAGGACGTGCGGGTGGGGGAGTATGTGCTGCCTGCCGGCCAACCTGCCTGGGTGGCGCTCGCACACATCCAGCGGAACGACCCCAGGTGGGTCAGCTCCACTCGTCTCCTGCAAAGCTCGCATGCGGCGCTGTCGCAGCTCGCAGCGCCGCGCGGTGCTGCAATCGCGCACGCTGGGCGTCGGCTCGAGTGCATTCTTGCTGGCCACATTACGACCCACACACGCCATGCCTATTATCCCCAGCGCTTTCTGGCCTCCCTCTGTCTGTCTGGTGCATCATGCGTGTCTCGCACCCCACTCACCTGCATTGCCTAGCACCTGGCGATCAAAGTGCTGAACCGTCTCAGCTGCTCGCCGCCATTGCGCCAGCGTCTGGTCCCCCTCGCGCGCACCCGTCCAGGTGGCGCGATGCAGCTGGCAATTATGATGCAGCCGCGTTCAACCCCGCCCGCTGGCTGACCCCGGAGGGGCAGCCGCAGGGCGCGCAGCTCGTGTTTGGCGCGGGCAAGCGCGGCTGCATAGGGGCGGCGCTGGCGACGGCTGAGTTACGGACCTTCCTCGCAGTGCTGGCCAGGAGCTACGCTTTCGAGTTGGACAAGGCCAGCCTGTCGTGGGCGGAGGCACCGTTCCCTGTGGCGCGCGCCGACTGCGCGAGCTTCTCCACGCTCTGACCTCTGTTGAGATTGGGGGCATGCGGGCGCCAGCCACCCGGCAAGGCGGGGGCGCACACCTGTCGAGGCTTACGCACACACGCCTGGCAGTTGAGCAAACTGCCAGGTAGTTAGCATGCAGGCACCGTTGTGTGCCAACCACACCCAGTGCGCGTGCGTGCGCAATACACCTGCATCAATGCATGTACTATCAATGCTTAATACTATAGATCATAGCTGCGAACAGTCAAGAGGCTCGACTTGTAACGCCACTTTGTGTTCCAAACCTAACCGGCTCCTTTTCACTCCTTCGCCACATGGGTATCAGCAGGGAGGCCTCCGCCTTACCGGCTCCTTGCAGACTCGTTGGCCCATAGATGAGGAGGAGCTTGAAGAGTGTCTTGGGAAACCCCCTGTTCTTGCAGTGCGTGCTTGTCATGCGCATGACTGCACGCACCATCGCACAATCAGCTGGACTGATTCTGAGATGAGCATGCACTTGTTTCATCTTTATGTTTTAGTTTCAAGTAAAAATCACATCCACACTTGGAGGCTAGCAAAATGACTTGCTACAATGTTTGAAGGCTGGTAGACACCCGTGTTGCGGAGAGCTGAGAGAGGCGACCCTCCAGCCAGGAGGCCATGCCACTTTCATCGCATGACGCGCGTCTCGTGGTGGGTGCAAGGGAGCCGCAGCTGCCGCCTAGTCGGCAAGATCGCATAACGGTGTGATAGACCAACCGGCTCCCCTGATCCTGCTTGGAAGCATGCAGGCGCGTACAGCTGCATGATTGGGCTGCAGCGTCAGCAACAGGCGGGCGGGTGGGAATGTTCCGATGTCATCCCTATTTCCAAATTCTCCCTCAAATGCCCAGATCCTGCCAGGGTGTTGAAGCTGCGTGCCCTGGCGCGTCCATTGTTACAGTCAGAAAATTCTAGTACACCCGTTGTCTGTACAGGCAAGCGGCATCGTCTGCACGGCCACACCCAGCCGTTGACTGCGGTGCAGGCAGCAGCATGATCTGAGCAAGTGCAAACCTGTCCGCTCCTTAGTGCAACGCCCCTCAGCACCTCACCCAACGCCTTGCACGTCTCCATGCGAGACGCCGCACCAGGAATGCGCACCAACAACCCCCGCATGCTCGCACACACAACCAAGCCGCCTGCCACAAAATTTGTGTATGTGCAAAATGGACAGTGCTTGCCAATCCCAGCACGGGCGTATTCGCAGCATGGGCTGCAGGGAGGTGCTGGCTGTCAGATCTGGAGTGCGTTTCCTAGCATCTGGGCAGTGTGACAGGGTTCGCCAGCCTTGGGACAGAAGCATGCGTCGTTCGGTCGGCGTGCGCCACGCGCCACAAGGCGCGCCAAACTGCCCGCCGAAAGCTGGCTGCAATTTGCAGACAGCGGGAACTGGGTGTGTGCGGGGCATGCTTGCTGGGACAAAAGGTCCCTCATGTCATGAGCCAGCAACCTCACCCTGGGCAGCTGCCGCTGCCAGCTTGTGTCTGGTTGGTTGATTGTGCTGCCCAGGTAGGGACGCCCGACCATCTTGATGAAGGATGGACATGCCATGCGTCCGTGACGACCCAGGCGCGTCAGTAGCTGGCCAGCAGACGACGGCCACCAGCGGTGGCCTTGGCCGCCGCCGTGGGCTTCGCGGCATCCGCAGCGCCGCCAGCTGCGGCGTCCTTACCGCTGGCCTTGCTGGCAGCAGCGCCACTGGCCGCTGGGGCCTTAGCAGTGTCAGCGGCAGCGCCGCCGGCCGCCGGAGCTTTGGCGGTGTCAGCAGCAGCGCCGTCAGCGGCCGCCTCCTTGTCGCTCGCCTTGGCATCAGCCTCGGCCGCAGGGGCGTCGTCGCTCGCGGAGGCGTTGCCGGCAGCGGCTGCGGCGACTTTGCTGCCCAGCAGGGTGGGGCTCGCGCACGCGGCCTGGGCCTTGCCCACCACCGCAGGGGACTTCTCAAAGTTGTCGTACACATACTCAGCCACGAGCCGCCCCAGGTCCTGGCCGTCGTAGTTGCTGCGGTTGAAGTGCAGCCCGGCGAACAGGCGGCTGTCCGCGGCCTCGTTGGCGGCGGCCTGCAGGGAGGTGTAGCTGCGGGGGCCGATGTCAGGGGCACCGTCGCTGATGATGGTGAACTTGGCGGCGTCCTTGCCCAGGAAGCGCTGGAGGACCGCGAGCGCCGAGCCGGACGCGCACTGGTGGCCGCTGGGGTACTCTGCGCGGCGCGGGACAGGCGGAAGGAGGAGTGAGGGTTCAGGGGTCGCCTGCTGGACCAGGTGGGCCGCGCGCAGCCTGCGGGGTGCGGCTATGTTTCCAGGCCGCAACGGTCCACGGGGCTTTAAGACTGCCCGCATTCCAGTGAAGTTGGGTTGGGCGGCCTCGGGCCATCTAAGGGAGCTTGGGGCCACACATGCACGCCCGCCACAGCCCTCTGCTGGTATCAAGTGCATATGGATGTCATCGGTCTGCATCGCGTGTATGCGCACCCGGGAAGTTGGGGTTGGCGAGGTTGGGCTGCCAGTCCTTGATGCCGGCGAAGCCCGGCCAGCCCTGGCGCACAGCGGTGGTGGGGCGCCAGAAATCAGTCCTGTACTTTACCTGCGAGCCGGGGGTCGGGGGGGGGGTAGGTGGGTGGGCTGGATTGGGAGTCTGCGGTTTTGCTCGGGTCATCTTGAAGCTGGCAGTGTCGCTCGCAACTCGTTCATCCGCCGGTTCCGCAGGCACAGCGATGCAACAACTGCATCGCAAAGGGCACTGCGACCCCAGAGGCCCAGGGCTTGTGACAGCCCAGCAACATGGTACTGGGTGTGTGGCCCAGGCTCCATCTTAATTTGCTGTGTGTGTGCCGTTGCGATAATGGGTTCAACCGCAAAACCGATGAGATTACACCCCAACCGACCTGCCAGCAAGCGATGTATCCGTCGTAGAACGCCGTCGTGATCTTGGCATGGATCAGGGCAGTCTCCTTGAGGGACAGAGTCACCGGCAGCACCTGGCAGGTGGAAGGGGGGGCGGGGTAGCGGGAGGTTGAGGGTCGGAGCGGCTAGTAGCACAGTTCCGTGGAGCGGTACGACTGGCGCAAGTGTTCTGCAAGGGCTTCTTGAATGAGGAGGTGTGCATGTGCAAGTTTGGCAATTTTTCCCTTCAAAAAAAATGGGGTCCCAAGTGCTGCTCGCGACGATGGGTCACAGGGCCTCCTGAGCAGGCACAGCGAGCCAAAATGCGCTTCAGTGCAGCAGGCGCCCTTTAGGAGCTGCCCGTTTGTTTGTCAATTTTTAATGTGCAGCAATGCAGCAAGGAGCCGTCTCAACCCGCCACCATCACGTTTAGCAGGTGACAACGCATCACAGCTTGGGCGGCAAGGCGCTGCACTCACGCGCTGCGCGATCTCCAGCCAGAGTCCCGAAACAGAGCTGGAGCCGCCACCCAGGCCAGCGCCCAGTGCCCAGAAAAAGGCGGTGTCGTTGTCGAACTTGGTGCGGCCCTTGGACACCCTCGCGCCCAGATCGACCACGGTCGCAAGCTCGGCGGGCTCCTTGGGGGGCTGTGTGCGCGGGTGGTAGGGCCGAGGGTGTGATGGGTTGCTAGGTGGTGCGCCAGTCAACTGCTGACTCAAGGAGAGGCAAGTCAGCCGGTCAAGGCCGGCCTCAATGGCCAGGCACGCATGATGGCAGGTCGTGTCTGGCCAGCGATTATGCATGGCAGCGCTGCACGCTGGGACGAATCCTGCGAGAGTTGCCTCGCAACATCAGAATGTCTTTCAGTTGTGCTCACCGAAAACACCTTGCCCTTAGCCGGGTCCTGTTGGGACCGTGCGTGCAAGGGGGGGGGGGGAGGAATGAGGGTTGGTGCTGCTGGGGTTGCAAAACAGCCATAGCCAAGAGCGCGCGACTGCGTATAAATTCACAACCAGCCACTAGCGAGCTGCACACCGAGGGTCCTGGTCCTGGTAGCAGCAGCACGCGCCGCGCACTGTGATGAGCAGCACACGCCGCACCTTGTTCTCGGTGAATGCGCGCAGCTTGTCCTTCGGCCAAACGAAAGGGATCGAATCCCCCAGCTGCGGCGCGAGCACAAACGTCTGGCCGGGCTGCAGCTGGTAGGCGTAAGGGGTGCCTGCGGGCTTGCTCTTGTAAGGCAGGTACTTTACGGCCGGGTCGTCCACCCTGGAGGGATGGGCGCGGGCGGCGCATGGTGGGGTCAGCTTAAGAGATTGCTCGATGCTTGCATCGTGGGCCGTAAAGCTGCTGGGCGACAACTTACAACCAAAAGGGGAGCCGGCCAGAGGCGCCGGCCATGTAGGGGCAGTTGCAAGGGTGGGATTGACAAACGCTGCAAGCATCCCTGCCGTGGCGAGCACTTGGCAACTCCCCCCACATTATGCAAGCCAGCACACACGGCTGGACGAAGCTCTGCGCCGCCACGTGCTGTGGTGAACCCCGCGCACCTCTCGATGATGAGGACCTGCGCGATCGGCGCTGCCACGGCGCGCGCCTTATCAAGGTCTGCCTGAGAGCGCCCGGCAACCTGGGCCTTCAGCAGCGCGTCAAACTTGGGCTGCAGCACGGGGAACCGGGTGGACAGCGTCGTGTGGGCGGCGTAGGCTGCGAGTGGGGGTGGGGGATGAGGGGGAGTAGAGCGCGGTTGAGAGAGACTCTGGAGCGTTGCATTCCCGTGTTGTGTTTGTTGTTTCCAGTCGGATCAGATGCTGGTGGCGAGGCACGCGCGACACCGAGCACACTGGCAAATCGGCGCGGCAAGCTCCTTTGCCTGCCGCTTGACGTGGCTCGCTGCCTCAAACCATGGGGCCGCAGGCCAGGTGGGGGTCGAGCAGCGGCACAAGAGGGCAATCCCAGAATGAAAGCCGAGCGGTCACAAGGTGGCTGCCCACCTGCCAGCAGATCCTCAGGGGCGCCGCCAGCCTCAAGGGCGCGGTACTGCGCAGCATCGCGGCGTTGGCATGGAGTGTGGCAGCAATGTTCAGGCACGTGGAGGTGTCAAGTGTGCAAACACCACCACCAGATGACGGGATCGTCGTCACCCGGGTGACACAGGTGTAGATGGTGATGCGCAGCGTGCGCACGGTGGCTGTGCAGGCCCGAGGGGGAGGTGAACGTGCTGCAATTGTTCAGAGGTGTTGCTTTTGCACCTTGAATCAAACCCCTTGACAATGTTTATCAGAGTCAGGTTGGTACTCACGATGGCCACACTGACAAACGCGTACTCCTGAATGGCCAGGGTGTTGGGCAGGCCCTGCACCCGCGCGACCTCACGAGTCGCGTTGACCCCTGCGAGGATTGTTTTGGGGGTAAAAAGCGGGTTTGCTCGTGTATGATGCATGGGGGGCTGGTGAAATGATGGGGAGGGGGGGTCTGGGCGGGAGTGACGGCATGGGGGTTGACACACCGCGCGGCGGCCGCCAGATGGATGGAGCCTGCCCAACCCGTTGCAGTTTGGTGTAACAGAACTCTGAGGCCAGTGAGGCAAGTTGGGGTGCAGCAGAGAGCTGCTGGCCCCACATGTGGTCCGCAAGACCCTCCCCCCCTCCCCGGGGGCCCCGCGCACATTGCGTGATGGTGTTGTTCAGCAGGGCATGGCTCTGGGGCACATAAGACAGCGCCACTACAAGCGCCAGTGCCAGCACGAGCGAACGCGCCATTGTTGCTGCCGGTGCTTCTCCGCGGGCTGTGGGGCGGACCGCCGCTGGAGGGATGCTGGGATGAGAGTCGAGCCTTGTGTGTCTGGCAGCTAGACCGACAGCGGTGGTGCCCAGCTGTACACAGTACGGAGCGTACAGTGAAATCCACGCAGCTCGTTCTGTACTTTGCAACAGTCAGGCGACGACGCTGTGCTTTCCAGGCGGCCGCGGCCTCCCGTCACGGCCGCGGTTACGATCGGGTGAGGCCTGGTTACACAGACCAGCAAGCTCGTTACGATCGATTATCACCACGGCATGGATGTGAATGCAAATGATAATGGAATACCAGGGTCTCACCGAAGAATTCCAAGACATCAGATGCTTGGCCGCCGGCGCAACCACTGCACTGCTCATCATTCGACGTGTACACCTGCTGAGGCACTGCCAATATGATAGGCAAAGATCCTGGTGTCCGGAACTTGTGCACTGAACAACATGGGCCAGGTGCACTCGGTTTGCATCATATTGTAAACTGGCTGTGGCAGCAGCACTTCGCATCATGGCGGGGCCTGGCAGGTCTGCAACAGGCACTCATGTTTGCATCGCTTGCTGTGTCTGTGGCCACGCCCAGCTGAGGTGCCTGCGTTCTCAGACCGCTGCTGCAGTGGCTCAATGCTGCAGTGGCTCAATGCTGCACGCAACGAGATTCACACCAACAGGGACAGGTCCCATAGCGCGTTGGTGAGAGTTTGCGCTGTGATTGACTTTTCCAGCGCAAACTTTGAGGCCCAACCGGTTCTTGAATAGGCAGACATCCAGCTCGACATGCAAATCGACAGTGCGCAATGGTGCATGGTCACCACTGGCGATGACTAATTACACGAGAGCGCATACCCGACATCTATGTTTACGCGAGCATTCGTTACGCAGCCTCTACCTTTCTTAGCACTCTCCGCTTGGCCTCTTGGCCGGGAGATCATCCCGCAGCCCGATCACAGCATTGATCTCCGACATATTTCAGACCGGTGAGCGTCCCTCACGAACAAAAGTGCACCGTTTATGCGCGAGCAGCTAATTGCATCTTGGCACGCCTAATGACTTGTAGGCGCCAACACCGTCGTCGCGGCCGCCTGCGACTCGCTGCCTCGGTGACATGCACTGCCCACTCGCTCTGCGTCCGCAGCCGCGACGTGTAGCCATGGCAACCACAGCCGGCGAGAGCAACTCGTCCCATTACACCAAAATCGGCCTGTCAGAGGATGAGATCCCCACCCAATGGTGGGTGGCCGCCCGTCCGTCCAGCGGGGCAGCCAGTGCGGTGGCATCGACAATTCGCTGCGGCCCTGGTTCAAAACCCCTTGCTGACCTGGCGTCCGCTGCTGCCCCAGCATTTCAAAGCAATATATTCAAAACCCAATATTGTCTGTGACCGCATCGAGCGACACCTTTGTCTGCGCCTCACACCTTATCAGCTGCCTCGCTGTGCCACCCCAGCTCCGCGCTTCGCACATGGATGCCTCCGCTCCGCAAGCCGCACCCCTTCCCCTTCGTCCCAACCAGCACAAACCCTATCGCTCCAACTCAAAGGTACAACATCGTGGCAGACCTGCCCAAGCCGCCGCCGCCCCCGCTGCACCCGAAGACCCTGCAGCCCATCACGGCCGATGACCTGGCGCCGCTGTTTCCCATGGAACTGATCCGGCAGGAGGTCAGCGCTGAGAGGTGAGAGGGTGGGGAGGGTGGGTTGTGCTTCAGCAGGGTGGGGAGGTGCACGAGTGTACAGGTGTTGGTTTGTGCACATGGAATGGTGGTGAGGTTGGGAGGGTGGGATGGTACGAGGGTGGGAGGGTGGGAAGGTGGGAAGGTGGGAAGGTGGGAGGGTGAGCTGGTTTGCGTGTGCCTGGTCTCTGCAGGCATGCATGTGTGTGCTTGTGTGCCCCAAGCCCACGTGTGCTTGGAGCGCCACGCCCGCAACTCTCCCCGATCATCTGGTGTCAAAACACCTCTTCACACCCGCCTTCAAGCCGCGTAGCTCTCATGCACGCCTCACAACACAACATCACGTGTTTTTGCAGGTACATCGACATACCCCCTGAGGTGAGGGAGATCTACCGGCTGTGGCGCCCCTCCCCTCTCTTCCGCGCCCGCCGCCTTGAGAAGCTGCTCGGCACGCCCGCGCGGATCTACTACAAGTGAGAGGGAGGGGGGCTGGCGTAACTGGCATGGTTGCAGGGGCTTTTATGTCAGCGTGGACCATGACATCGATGTCCTGATGACAGGAGTTGGGCGCGGCCCCCATCTGGCTGTGTCCTTGCGGGTCAGGAGGGGGTCGCAGGGGATTGGCGAGGGGTCAGGGGGTGTATACAAGCCGCCTGTAGCACCTGACCCCTACAGCAACAGGCGTCCAGGGCTTGGAACACATTGCACAATCGTGGGGGCTTTGATGTCGGCGATAGCCTGCACGCACTCCGTTTGTGTAGCAAAGTCGGCGGCGCTCTCATGCTGTGCTGCTTCCAGCAATCCCCGCATGCGCTCCTGGGGCTGTTACTTGGCAAGCAGACCCCGGTGCCGCCGCAAACGCCGGCCTGCCACCTTTTCAAACCTCTGCTGCTCGCGCAACCCTCGCGCGTGCTCGCACCCGCTGACGGCCTGCGCTCCCCCCTCCCTTCGACCACCACCCCCAACAATCCAGGTACGAGGGCGTGAGCCCCGCGGGCAGCCACAAGCCCAACACTGCAGTGCCCCAGGCCTACTACAACAAGGCAGAGGGTGGGCGCACACAGTGACAAACGCTTTTGACCTTCACACCCCAGCGTACCCCACTTGCACGCTTGCGTCTTTCTCGACATGCCAACGACAGTAAACCAGGCCCCCTGCGTGCACGGCGTATGGGGCGGGCGGGCTTCCTCACATCACGACACGATTGTAATTGTCCTGCCCTGGTCAGGGACAATGCTCGATTGTAACCTTTACATGCGTCCCGACCACCAGGCTCCCCGCGAGCAGCAAAGTCACCTGGCGGTAACCCCGACCGCCCCCCAACCCCTAGGTGTTAAGAAGCTAACCACCGAGACGGGCGCCGGCCAGTGGGGCTCCGCCCTGGCCTTTGCCACCAGCCTGCTCGGAATGGACTGTGAGGTGATAGGGCCCAGGGTAGAGGCCCGCCACACGTCGCCGGCGGCGTCCGTGTCGCATAGTTATATATACGTACGCTGCCCACGCACGCATCTGCATACACCTACCTGTGCCCGCAGCGGATCAGCCGGTTTGATTCCTCAAATGAGCGACATTCCTGTCTATGTCAGCCAGCTGCTCGATTTGTCTACCAACGTGCGTCTGCTGCACACACTCTGCGCTTCGGCCGTCCCAACCCTTGCGCCGATCAACCCCAGCCAAAAATCCGGCGTCCCCCATCCCTGTGTCGCGCGCAGGTGTGGCAGGTGCGCGCATCGTATGACGCCAAGCCGCACAGGAAGACGATGATGGAGCTCTGGTGAGGCAGGGGGGGTGGGGGGCTGCGGGGGTGGATTTGGGGTGATTGCCGTGGCCAGGGTCACGATCGGTTCCGGGTATGGAAATGGCGTTGGGGGTGCGGATTTAGATGGGGATTTGCAGGGGGTTAAATTTGATCGGTTGGGATGGGGATGGGGAAGGAAGGGAGCGAGGGAGCGAGGGAGCGAGGGAGCGAGGCCGTCCCGATGGGCTGTAGGGTGCACATGAGGGTTCTGTTGGCATGCCCACGCATGTGCAGGGATGTCGGTAGGCGGCGTCGTCGACCGACAGCCTGCACATCTAATAGGAAAGCCGCGAAGCACCAAGCATAACAAGATCACCACCCTTCGCTGCTTCTCAACACCCTGCTTGCCATCCCCCCGGGCACATGTCACACCTGCTTGGTTCTGCCGCCCCTCGCCTCACTCCCGCCCTCCGCACCACCGTGCCCCAGGGGTGCGACGGTGCACCCCAGCCCCTCCCCCCTGACGCAGTCGGGGCGTGCCGTCCTGAAGGAGACTCCTGACACCCCTGGGTCCCTGGGCATTGCCATCAGTGAGGCGGTTGAGGTGGGCTTCGGAATTTGTTTGAAGGTTCGGGTTCAGGGGGTGTGGCCAGGGGTGTGTTGCGTCGATATGGCAGAGAGGGGTGGGTGAGTGTGGGGTGGGGTGGGATCTGGTGCGGACGCCGTGTGGTGGGTGTTTGGGTGTGTGGGTGAGTGGCTGTATGGGTGTGTGGGTGTGTGAGTGTGTGGGCTTATCATAGAAATCCACGCACCGTTTGGGGTCAAGCGTGTATCTATGTTTGTGGGAGGGGAGGGAGAAGGGGGAGCGAGCATTTCAACGCACGTCGCTGTCGTGCCTTGGGTTGGCAACGCTTGCCGGCTGCACACATGCAAGTATACATGCAGGAGAGGGTCGAAAAGAACATGGGGCTGCTCAAACTCATCAAATTGTGCGCTTGTGCTTGATCGATATACCCCCTCTCCCCAGGTGGCCGCCGCAGACCCTGACGCCCGCTACGCCCTGGGGTCAGTGCTCAACCACGTACTGCTGCACCAGACCGTCATCGGTGGGCCGACCCCGCCGCCGCGTCCGCGCGCGCACCCGCCGCCCCTCACCACCCGTAATCTGCAGCTACGGCTGTTGGCACGTTTTCACGCGAGCCCAGCACTGCCGGCCAGCCGCATGCGCCTGTCCCCGCGCATTCGCGGCCGCGCGCTTGCTGTCCAATTCGCATGTTTTGCCTGAACACCACTGCAGGGGAGGAGGCCCTGAAGCAGCTGGCCAAGGTCGGGGAGACTCCCGATATTGTGGTGAGCGCGCGGCGCCTTGGCGGTGGCAGGGCAGGGCCCGGCTGTAGCGCAGCGCTCAGACCACGGTGCCGCAAGGACCAAGGCCGTTGCTGTGTATCTGCAAGTTTGGCGCGAGAGGTGCACGATCCACTCACACACACGACACGCAAATAACGCTCCTCTTGCCTGCGACTCTTCTGCTGCATTCAAACCTCCTATCCGCAGATCGGCTGCACCGGCGGTGAGCATGGCCTTGGCACACTGACCCCCTGCGCTGTGTTCGTGAGCGGCAAGCAATTTCCAGGACATGGCCTTTGCGCGCCCTTGCACACCAAACCACTGCCGCCTCCCATCTACCCCTCCAAACCCGCCACTCCCGCACCCAAACCAACCCCTTGCGTGACGCTCTCGACCGTGCCAACCAGGCGGCAGCAACTTTGCGGGCCTGGCGTTCCCAATTTTGAGGGAGAAGATGGCCGGCCGCATGAGCCCCCGCGTGCTGGCCGTCGAGCCGGCGGCCTGCCCCTCCCTGACAAAGGGAAAGTATGTCTATGACTACGGCGACACCGCGGGTGAGCAGCGGGTGACAAGTGCTTGCTCCGAGGTTGCTACGACTGCTTGGCAGGGATGATCTGGCTGAGCTGGAAGATGGGCGGAAGTTGAGTCGAGCAGAGAGATGTTGCTGCCAAGCCAGGGCGCAGGGGCGCCCTGTGTGGTGTGTGGCGTGTTGGCAGATGCACAAGTCCAGCCATCGGCGCGCCCACAGCATTCAAGCAGTGCCTTTTGCTGCAGCGCTGATCCGCACAAGATTTTCGCCGAAAGTTCATGTTCCCGTGCCTCTCCGTTCCCCCTCCTCAACACCCTCCAGGCCTGACCCCGCTGGTGAAGATGCACACCCTGGGCCACTCATTTGTGCCAGACCCCATCCACGCCGGCGGCCTGCGCTACCATGGCATGGCGCCGCTGGTCAGTACAGGGTCGTTGGCCCAAACCTCGGCTCCCCTCTATGGCTGCCTGCACCCTGTGCCCAAACTGCCCCTGCAACCTGTCCCTGGGTCAAAACCTGCCCTGCAGCCTGCACCCGATTTCGAGCACAAACCACGCATCCGCACGCACGGGGAGAAGCGACCAAACCAGCTGCCCCTGAAAGCGCACTCCCTCTGCTGAACCCGCCTTATCCGCCCTTCTCGCGACCGCCAGATCAGCCACGTGTACGACCTCGGCCTGATCGACGCCATCGCCATCCCACAGAAGGAGTGCTTCGACGCCGCGACCGCCTTCCTCAGGAGTGAGGGCATTCTGCCGGCGCCGGAGCCGACGCACGCGCTGGCGGCGACCATCCGCGAGGCGAAGAAGTGGGTGGCTTAACTTGCTTGGTTCCTGCCGGTTGTCATCCACTGGAAGTTCTGGGTGATTTGTTGATGCCAGGGTTGAAAATCGCAAGTCTGGGTGCCGTCAGGTTTGACCGATGCGTGCAGGGACAAGAGCCGTCATGCGACGAAACCCGGGCCAGAGCTGTCGCGTGTGTGTCTGCTGCCTGCGCAACGCAGGTGCATTGAGACGGGCGAGTCCAAGGTGATCCTCACGACGCTGTGCGGCCATGGGCACTTTGACATGTCCAGCTACGAGAAGTTCCTGAGCGGTAGCCTGGAGGTGGGCAGCTGGGCGCTCGCTCATTGCGGGGGCCGTGGGAGTGATCAGGGCGTGATGCCGACAGCTCGCCTCCCTGGCCTGGTATTGATGGATGGTTTTCATTTCACGTATCACATCGTGCCTCGGTCGCCTATTCAAGGAAACGCATGCCAGTCTGCGGCCATGCGCCGTCCCATGGCGCGGTGAAGGCCGGCCTTCACCACCATGAGATCGCCGAGGGTCACCTTGGCCCCCTTAGCGCAACATTCTCCTACCCCCCTGGGTGCCCTCCCCCCCGAGTCCTTCCCCCTCGTTTCCCTTTCACCACCCACAATGTCACCCCTGATGGCCCGCAACGTCACCCCAGGACCTGGATTACCCCGAGGACAAGGTGGCAGCCGCGCTCGCAGACCTGCCCAAGATTGAGTGATTGATGATGTCATCAACATCCCACAGGACCGGCTGGGCACGATGGCGGCTGGACATTATCTGGGCTCTCGTGCTTCGCTCGTACCTGAGGTTTGGGGCCAGGGCTGCAGACCTGCACTCCTTTGTTGTCTGCTGAGCCGTTAGCAGGCAACTGCTCAACGTGCCATTGCAATTTCGCGCCCTCGCCGTCCTGCCATGCATGTATTTACATTACCATGTCCTGCGTCACCCTGTGGTGGGGGGCGCGTCACAAGAAGGGGTTGACTATTAAACATCACTGAGCATTTTCGCTTCTTGTATTACATCATGGATGTATGGAGGCCCCAACAACAAGCAGCTGCCTCCGCTGATCCGTTGGGGCAGGCGACCCCCTCGTCTCCCCCCCCCCCCCGGGCGGGGCCCTCGCTCACTCGCCGTCGAGTGTCCCTGTACACCCCTGATGTTGGAGGTGAATTTATACTTTGGAGTTATCAACCACAATGGCTGATGAACCTGGATGCATCCTGCTTTGGCAGGTGGTCCGGGCGCACACATTGAATATGAAACGCAACCACTGGCAATGGGGGCCGAGGACGAGGTGGCAGCTGTCACGGAAGTTGAGAGGCCCGGGCTTGCGGGTGGCGAGAACGCCGAGCAGCCCTTCAGCAGGCGATTCGTGAAACGGGCGACCCAGCAGCCTGGGCGGCCTGGGTGGTCTGGCATGCGTGCAAGTACGCGACGCAACCTTGTGGCTGCCGCAGGGCTCTGATGCTGTGTGGAAGCTGGCACAGCAGTCTGCTCGTCTGGGCGGCGCGATGCACCAATCGGCTTCTGGAATGATGTGTGCCACACAGCGAGCCCCTCTATGCCAGCTGACGGCATGCCAGCTGCCTTGTATGGTGGTGTGTACGTGTGCGTGTGGGGGGAGGGTCAACAGGGGGGGCCTGAGCGAGGGATGACGGTGGGGGAATGATGGCATGCGGCCCGAGCACCATGCCGCACAAGCGCAACATTTTCAAAACTATAGCAAACCTGTTTGCACTGGAGAAGCACGGCGGGGCCGCACCAGTGCGGCCATTACCTGAGCCGTCTGGCTCTGGCAATCTTGATCCTCGCGCAGCTGCCAGCTCACCCGACGCCAGACATCGCCGCACAACTTGCAGCCATCTAACGGGTGCATACGCATTGTGTACGGCGTATTCGTACCTTTTCAAGCAATACTGTCATACATCGAGATCTCAAGCAGTTTGAACGCGCATCACAACACAGGACCGCGCGTATGACGACACGCCTAACGTGTGTTTAGAGTCTGAATAACAAGGAATGGCCAGTGCCTTGCTGTACCACGAGCTATGTGGCGAAGAAGCCTTTGGGGCACAGGTGCTCGCTGGCGACTGCTTGGCGCTCTTCGCGCTGCTGCGGCCCATGCTCCCACTGCGCAGCAGACGCGCCATTGACCGGCACAGCTGGGCTCACCACCTCCACAAATGCACGCCTCACAGCCGTTTGATGACCCTTATGCCAAGTGCTGCGGCGCTTCCCAGCAGCAGCAGGAGCAGCCGGAGCAGCAGCACCGGCAGCAGGAGTTGCATCGGCAGCGGCAAGGCAGCAGCGGCAGCCTGCCCCCAGAGACGCCTCCGTCCTTCCCCGCCCCAGCCGCCTCGCCATTCCAGCAGCAGCAGCTGTCCAATGCCCACGCCGCCTCCAGCGGCCGCGGTTCCCTGGGCCCTTTCGACAGCAGTTTCTCCCCGACCGCCCCCGGCGCTCACGAGCCGTTCGCCACGCGCGCCAACGCGGCAGAGTGCATGGCGTTCTTGCAGTCCGGCCTCGACGCCGCTGGCGCGCGCACGCGGCTGCCGGACGCCCTTTCTGCGGCGTCCGACCCGGCCGGCGCGCTCCCGGCCGCGCTCAACGCGGCGCACGAGCTCCTTGCGCTGCTGCGGCGCTCGGACGAGCTGCGGCGCGCGCAGGAGGAGGCGGCGGGACGGCTGCGGTCAGAGGCGCGCGCGGCGGGCCACGCGGCGGAGCAAATGCGGGGGCGGAGCGAGCAGCGGGACCAAGAGGCCGCCGGCCTCAAAATCAAGGTGTTTGCAGCGGGGTGTTGCGTCACCGCCCCGCTTCACTTCACTGTGACCTCCGCGGCACTTCGTCCCCCCGCTCCATATAACCCTTAAATCAACAAATTCGAAGATGCAATTTGTTTACAAATGCAGTGCCGTGCGCGGATTACAGCATGTGCGTCAGCACACCGCAGGGCGCGTGCTGGCTGCAATGCCATCCACGGCGCAGCTGCGCCCCCGCGCCCGTGCCACGCGGCGAACCCACGTCCCCCCGCTCCCGGGCCCCTTGTCCCCGCAGCTGCGGCAGCTGGAGGCGTGGTATCGTTCTGAGGTGGCGCGCCTGGGCGCCGAGCGCGACGACCTTGCGCGCCGCGGCGCCGCGCTGGAGCAGCGGCACGCGCAGTTTGGTCACGAGCTGCGGCGGCGGGACGGGGAGGTGGAGAAGCTGCAGGGGCGAGTGCGGGCGCTGCTCAGGTGTGGGCGGCCTGGATGCAGGGTGCCTTGTTTGAAAGCAGAGTGCCTTGTTGAAAGGTAGAGCGTTTCTTTTCGAGGCAGAGTGTTTTGTATGGAGTCAGAGTGTGGCAGCCTGAGGGCGGCCTGCACTCTGGTGGGGGGGGGGGGCGCTTTCGCGCACGGCTGGCCGCCATGTCGCCGGCGCGGCTGGGCGTTTGCGTGAGCGTGCGTGCAGCGTAGCAGGCCAAGGCAGTTGGGGGTTTTGCCGAGAGTGGGGACGCAGTGGGGGGAGGCGCGCTATGACCGTCCTTGCTGCGGCTGCCGTCCTCACAGGGCGCCAGCTGACATGCGGCTGAGCTCGTCAAGCGACCTTGACCAGACACCGTCGCCGCCGCTACAGCAGCAGCAGCCACCATCGGACCCTCAGCGGCGGCCACAGCAGCGGCGCGCGACCGACGTCAGCGGCGGCGGCACGCCGGGCGGCCTGCACGCGTCGCCGCCGCACGCGGCCGCACGCGCCCGCCGCGGCAGTGCCGACGCCGCCGGCGGCGCCCGCATCCTAGCTCCGGGCGCGCCTCAGCGGCGGCTCACGACTGGCGGTTTGGGGGCGGGGTCCGCCGGAGGCCCGACGCCGGCCGCAGCCGCAGGGGTTGATCCGTTGCCGGCCGCGGCGCCGGGCCTGGCCGGCGCAACATGGCACGAGGTGCGCGCCAAGCTAGCCGAGCTACAGGTGAGGGCGCAGCGCGTCAAGGTGCAGTGCGGCGCGCCCTCTGGCGCCGACGGCTGGGACGGCGGCGCGGCGCACGTCGGCAGCGCGGGGCTGTTCTCGCCGCAGGCGAGCACGCCCCATGAGCGGCTGCTGGTGGCGAAGCTCATGGAGGCCAGGTGGGGGCGGATGCAGGGGGCGGTCGCGGTGGCGTTGTGTGTTTTGTGTGTGTGTATGTGTATGTGTGTGTGTGTTGTTTGTGTGTGTGTGTGTGTGTGTGCATGTGTACATTTAGGTGCTTGCGCTCGGCCGTAAGGCTAGCAGACACAGTCTTGGAGTGCATGTGTAGTGTCGGGACAACATGCATATCGTTTCGCGGTGGGTGGACCTGCTGCGTGCACCCCGTCAGCTCACCCGCCCGCCCCGTCGCCGCACCCTCGGCCTCGCGCAGCCAAATCATGGCGGAGCAGGAGCATACCTTGAAGGTCGCCATCGCAGCACTGGCTCCCGCAGCCGCGGGCGGCCGGCTGGGGGGCGGCGCTTGAAGGCGGCGCGCCGACGCCAGCAGCGGGGCAGGACGCGGGCGCGGCCTTGGGGCGTATGTAGCTACAGGAGGCTGCGCACGCGTTCTACAACGCAGGCGGGGCGGGTTCGGTTGGGTCGAATGGAACGAAGAACAGGCAGGCAGGGAGGGGTGTAGCGGGCAGGCTGCCAGGCAAGTTGGTAGAATAGGGGTGACCCAGGTGGGAGCAAGCAGCCCGCTTGTGCCCTCGGAGCTGCCGTCGCTTATCCCCCCGCAATCAGGCCAGTATGTCGATGTGCATACAACAAAGCTACCCTGAGTCTTTTTTGAGTCAGACTGCTGGCGTGCTTTTGGCTCTTGTTGGGCTGGCAAACATCGTATGCACACAAACTGTTACAAGCTCGGCGCCACGGCTCCAGGCTTTTGGCTTGGACAGCGTCCAAAGGCGCTTGATGTCAACCGGCAGGCGCATGGTGACACATGGCCCTGGCAGCAGCGCCCGCAGGGGACAGGCGCTGATTGCGCGGCATCACTCAGTTGAAGCCCAAGTTGTGACTGCGGGCAGAGGGAGCTGATCGCCGCGCGTCAGCGATCCTGAAGGGAATGCTGTCGCGGAAGCACCCAGCCCTTCGCCGCGCCTGCGCCCCCGCAAGTCGCGGCGGCGCCCCAGCCGGGCACGAACGGTCGCCAGCAAAGGAGGCGCACCGAGAGACGCGGCAGCCACGGCGCCACACCAACAAAGGGTCAGCGGGAGCGGCGGCAGCCAGCGATGATGGTGTGTTTTGCAAGGGTGCGTGCATCGGATTCTTCGGTGCCCCTTCACAGCGGATGATTTTGACAGTACAGGGCCAGAAGGTGCGGCCCACGCTCAAGGTGCTTTGCGATGCCGCGCCCCTTGCTGGACTGGGGAGCCCCGCGCTGCATCGGTCTCAGCAGCACGCTGCGGCACGTGCCCCCGCAGCGCTGCTCGCGTCCGTGGGCGCCTGGCCGCGAATGATATGAGCCGCTACGCCCTCGCAATGCACGGTGTTGTTGATGGTGTTGTGTGGTGTTTGCTTGGCCGGCCGCGCGGCCTGTGTGCCCGCTCACAGCTATCGGTGCAGAGGATAATCATACATGGCGCGACAACGTTGTCACGCGCGGGTGGTGTGCACAAGGCGGCGGGGGCAAGCGCCGCGTAAGGACACGGGTAGATGCTGGCTGACAGGCGCCAGAACATTTTAAGCCGCAAGGCGCGGCGGGCGCGGTGCCATCAGTAAGTCAAAGGTGATCTACATGGCACCTCAGGACGCGCGACAGGCCGCCTCGCCGCCACCACCTCTAAAGCCGCCCTGCCTCAGCAAGCTGTCACTATTGTCCGCCCTGTCATGGCAGGCCACTTGCGTCTCCCCGAGCCTAGCAACCCCCCGGGCCGCGCAGGCGCGCCGGCTCGCCTGGGTGCGCCGCAGGCAACCCAGGGCAGGCAGCGCGCAGTGGCGCGAAATAGCCTAGCCCTTGTCTTGTCGATGCCCGGGCATCGAAAGACTGGGAAGCTGCGGGGCTGGAAAGAACCGCCCGGCGTGGTAGCAGCGGGCGCACGCCGCCGCACCTTCGAGTGCCGCGGCGTCCGCTCGAGCGCGGTTGAACCTATAGGGTCGTACTCCAGGGCGCGCAGGTTGTAAGGCTTCCTGACGGTGGAGAGCCGTTGCCATGCTGACGTGGGGAGGGGTGATGAGGTGTCAGCGGCCTTCCCAGATGCCAAGCTTCTTCAACTCCTGGGGTGTGATGCAGGCAAGAGTGGGTGTGTATTTGTGTGTGTGTGTGTGTGTGGTGTGTGTGTGTGTGCATGTGTGTGTGTGGGGGGGTGTAAGGGGGGGATGAGAGGATCGACGCGGTGCATGGCACCTTCACAGCGTGGTTGGTGCGGGCGGTTGCTGGCAAAGCGCGACGTGGCCTGTCCAGGTGCGCCGGTGGCGTGTGCGGCTGTGGGGCGCCATGACAGTATCGTCGAGCTCGCAGGGGGGGCAAGGAGGTTTCAAAAGCGACATGCGCGCGCGCACGCAAACACACACACACACACACACACACACACACACACACGTGTGCAACCCCACACACATACGTGCACGCACGAACACACGTGAGTGCGCACCTGCTGGAACTCAAGAGCTGCGTCTGCGCTGAGTTTGGAGGTGTACTCTTGCTGTGGCACAAACAACGGGCGCGGGCACAGCACGAAGGGGACGTGTTGGCCGTTGTGCCGCAGGGGCCTAAGAGGAGTGGGGCAACATCACGCACGAACGACCCGTCGCCCGCCCTCGCCGCAGATCCAAGGGCACCAAACACGCACCCCTCTTCCTCTGGCTGGCACTGCCTGATGGGCCGTCCTGCAAATGCCAACCCAACCCGTATTACTCGCGCGCCCCCACCAAACTGCCTGCGCCGTGCGACGAGGGCAGAAAGGGGGGGGGTTGCCCACCTCGAAGGCCACCCTGAAGCCCTCGTACTCGTTGATGCTGCCGCCCAGCGCCTCCACATACGCCACGTCCTCCCCGGTCGCCAGTGCCGCCAGGTCCCAGCGGCCGTCGGTGCCCGCCACGCGGCCCTCGAGCTGCCGCGCCTCGGCGAACGCGTGGCGGGGCCCGATGACCTGTCGTTGTTGGGCGGCAGGGCGCGCGTTTGGTCGCATTTTGAAGGGGGGCCCAGGGTGAGGGGCGCTGAGCCTCAAAACACTTGGGGGCCTCAACAGGCTGCTGATCAGGCTGCCACATCTATCCCAAGGCGTGCTCATTGGGAGCCACAACCGCAACCCACCCGACCCCTTGTGCTGGATGAGCCCGTCCCAGTACATTCGCACCCTCACACACATGCAAACACGTGAACGACACACTTGTGCACACATACAAGACAACAATACACTACCACAAAGAGGCACACAAGCACACACACACACACACACACGCGCGCATGCGCGCACACACACGCACACACATAAATACACACACACACACTCTTACGCACACGCACATACAGCCGACTCATCACCACCCCACCTGCATGAGGCTGGCGGCCATGTACTCGGGGCAGCCCATCACGGCCTCCCTGCTCATCACCAGCGTCTCCAGCAGGAACGCCACCCGCCGCTCCAGCTCCAGCGGCTTCTCAGACAGGATGGCGGGGCAGCGCGTCGCCAGGGACACGACCTGGGGGGGAAGGCGGGGGGCGTTCGGGTGACAAGGCGCGTGAGGTGGCGCTTGGGAAGGCGCGGACGCGAGGAGGCGGGGGGGATAGGGATGAGGGCGCTGCCGCCTGGCCGGCAGGACCCGGTAAGTGCACAAGCACTGGATCATATTGCTATAAAACGAGCTCATCATGGTCATGTCATATTCATCAGGTGCACGGTCGTCGTGCGGCATTTGGGCAGCGACCAGCTGAGGCTCCGATGGAGGCACGGGCGCAGCGCATTCATTAGTCAGATCGCCCCACCCAGAGCCTCCCAAACCAAACCCCACTCCAGACACGAGAATGAGCGTGTCCTTCAAAACAACATGCACACACACGCGCGCGCATCAATTGGCTCCGACAGCACATGGATCAACACGCCTGATCCACAACAGATCACACGGCACAAAGCAGAGCTGCGCCTGGAGCCACACGCGTGCACAGCCGCGCCGCACCTGTGACCCGGTGAACCCGAGCTCCTTCAAACACGCCAGGGCCTCCTGCGGCGCGCCCTTTTGGAACAGGAACCCGGCGTGGCCCCTGGCCAGCATCGCCCTCACGCCCGCCGCGTCGATCCCCGCCTCCCCAAGAGCAGCCAGGCGGGCCGCAATCGCCGCGCGCGCCTCGTCGCGCAGCAGGTGCGGCGCCGCAAGCAGCACCTCGCCGCACTGCAGCGCGCTGCAGCCGAGGGACTTGAGGTGATCTACGAAGGGCTTGATCTGGGAGTCCAAGGATGACGTCAGCACCTCGGGACGCAGGCAGACCAGCTGCTGAAGCTGGTTTGGCGAGAGGCCGAGGGACATCAGGTATGTTGCCGTGGGCTGCAGGTCCGCCGCCGGGTCCCGCAGCAGCACGGCCGGGCAGGCGCAGCCGACCCTGCGGGCGGGTGAGGGGCGTGGTCTGCGTCACGCGCCAAGGGCGGGGCGCGAAGATGCGGCAGCCGGCCGGGCGGCCTTGAGACAAAGCATGGCGCCGATCCAACTGTGGTGGCCACCGGGCCCCGAGAGAGGCTTGCGGCGCCCCCGAGCAGCCATGCAGGGGCAGGGCTTGTCATGATGACCCCATTTTTGACCGACCGCCCACCTGCTCCAGAGGAAGTCTGGCTTGACCCCCAGGGACCGCAGCCACGCGACCACCTGGCTGGCCTGGTGCAGCGTGCCCTGGGTGAACAGCTCCACCGGCGCGGTCAGCAGGAACGCCATCACGTCGCGCTGGCCGACACCCTGGCCAGGGGCAATGATGTGTGGGGGTGGGGTGGGGGTCGGCGGGCGCAGGGGGCCCGCGGGCCCGGAAAGCACCAGGAGGGGTGCAATCAGGGTGCTGCTGCCCGGCCGCCAGAAACCAGCAGCAGGGCTGCTGCAGTGGCATCTCAACCGCCCCCGCAGCGTACAGAAAACGCGGCCGCCTAGCAGCCCCCTGCCAAGCCGCCGCCGGCGCAGTGTCTTAAGGATTTGCACAGCAGCGGGTGTGCTCCCAGCGCCCCACCTGGGCTCCCAAGTAGTCGAGCCACCGCTGCAGGCTGGTGGGGTGGGCCAGGAGGTCGGGGCGCTTGGTGAGGACGTAGTACGCGTCCTGAGGGCTCTCGTCCATCGCAGACTTGAGGCTGCGCACCGCCGGCTTCACCTGCCGTCGCGGGGGCGTGCGGGATGGGGTTGGTGGCGGCATGCGGGTCAACAGGTGCGTCGGCGGCTGTGCCGGCGCCGCAGCCGCGGCTCCGGCAGCACTCAGGCCGCCGCGAGCGCAAAGGTGTCACACCGAGGCGAGCGCAGCAGATCATGGTCATAGCAGATGCACAGCTGCTTGCGGCCCCGGGGAGGGGGGATCGCACCTGCGTGTCAACGTCGAACTGCTGCAGCCGCGGCGTCTGCAGCGCAAACAGCATGACCGTGTGCGGCCAGATCCCCAGCTCGGAGCTGATCGCGCGCTCCGCGCCGCTGGGCACGTAGGACGCCTGGTGCTGCGCCCAGCCGCCGTCCAGGGACTGCAGCAGCCTGCGAGTGCGCACCCGCCGCGCGCGTCGGCGGCACATCGACAGACGCAACCGTGCTCTCCGAGAAAGGGGGGGCCTGGGAGCGCCACGCAACTGCAGCTGTTTCACGCGCTCTGCGCGATCGGCGCACCTGGCCCTCTCACGGGGGTCCTGCGTTCTCCGCAACTCCTCCAAGGGGTTGCTGGGGCCGCCCTCCGGCGAGTTGGCGTATCGCGCTGGCGCTGCACGCCGGGTGCCATGTCGCCGAGCAGGCGTGCCCGCCGGGGTCCCCAGGCGGGCTCGCCGTGAAGATGCGTCTACCGCGCTACGTGTTGTGTTAAAGCCCTGCAACCGCATGGGGCCCGCACTGCTGTTGATTGATGACGCGGGAGAGTTTGTGATCGGCTCTGTACACTATGATTGAGCATCCAAGTGAAATGCGTTTGCTCAAACTTTGTTCCCTTGGCTGAACGGCCACGACAACAAACCAGATCAGCAAAAAACTCCGGGCCCGCTCACGTGCTAGTTGCCTGTGCGACGCCCACGAGGTGCTTAGACACTGCGAAAGTCTGACATATTACCACCGCACCACCTGTGTCCGGCCACTTGGCATGCATAGTGATGTCAGCGGCCAACCCCAACTCGCCCGTCCGCAGCATCGCCTTTGGGTCAGCCCCCACCCCTGCCTCCACCCAGCTGCAGACGAGCCCATTCGTGCCGGACACTTACATTTTGCATCCGTGCGACTCGCTGTCCATATACCAGGTGCGCATGTGCGCACCTGGTATCTGGACGGCAATGGGATCCGTCCACCCATGCAGCTGCACCACAATCACAACACGTTGGTGTCCAGCTGCGCCGACCGCAGCCCCAGCCGCCGCAGGTCCGAGCCGCTGCCGTTGGTGATGGCGCGCAGCTTCTCCACCTGCGCCGCGCTGGGGGCCTCCACCAGGCCCCGCTCGTGGTAGAAGTGCAGCAGGTGGGCCACCTCGATCTGAGGGGCAGCAGCAGGGTGGGGGGCATGCGGTTGCACTTTTTGAATTTCATTTGCATGCGCAAGGTTGGAGGCCGCTGCCAAATCAGTGTTGCACAGGATACGACACCAGATGGGAGAATCGGCGTAGGGGCAGCCACCTTCGCGGCGCGCCGCCAGCTGCGCCGCACTGGTGCCGGTGAGTATCGGGGCCACAAGGCGGCCAGACAAACCAGGTCAAACCCCACGAGTGACGACGACTCACCGGCGAGAAGCGCGGCATCTCGTACTGCAGCACGCTCTTCCGCAGCGGGATCTGCGTGTCCAGGGGCACACCCCCCGTGGCGCTCGTCGCCGCCACCACGCGCGCGCGCCCCAGGTTGCGCCAGTTCAGCAGCCGCATGCTCGACGCCTGCGGGCCGGCCGTGTGCGGAGGCAGCGCAGGGCAGGGCGCGCATCCAGTGTCAGTCGCCCCGCCGGCTGCAGCACCTGCCGGATCGCCCGCAGTCGAGCCCCTGAACTGCCGCCTGGAGGCGTCGCAGGCGCCCTCACCGCTGCGGCGCGCCACACGCAGCACACCCCAGCATTACCCAGCAACCCAAACAGCCAGCCATCCACGCGGAACCAGCACATCGGCGCACCAGATTCAGCTCAGACACCTCCAGCTGGCGCCTGCGCAGGTAGGGCGCCCCGCTTGGCGCCGTCTCGAAAGCCGTCTCTCCGTAATCGGTGGGCCTGTAGAGGGCGCCGTAATTGTCAACCGCAAACAGGACCGCTGGGGCGCTCTCGGCAGCGCGGTCGGGGGACGCCGCCGCTGCCACAAGCTCCCGGATGAGCGAGAGGCAGCAGCCGACGGCCATGCGGGCCTGGGAG